ACTCCCCGCCTCTCCTCTCTGTAGACACCAAGGGTCACCTGCCTTGGCTGGCCCTCGGGGCTCCCGCCGCACCCACTCTTGCATGCAGAGCTTGCCAGGATGCGTTCTTGGCCTCGTCCGGCAGCTGCCTCACAAGCCCATCCCCTTAGTGGGGCCATCCCTGCCCACTGAGCCAGCGTGGGCTGTGCCTGATCCTCCTTCCACAACTGCTTCTAGACAAATCTACTACCAGAGAGAAAACTAGGAGAGTGGTTCTCTGGGCAGGTTCGTAGGAACAGGGCCTTCTCTTCCTTTGCACCCTGCAGTTACTGGCTGAGCACCTGGCACAACATTTGAGACAGATGCCCGAGTCTGCCCCCAGCCCCCCTGCTCCAGCATCTCACAATTTGGCGGGGCAGGTGGGCACACCTATAAACACGGGGTACACTGAGAAGGAGGCGCCTGGCCATTCTAGCCGGCTGCCCTGATGACTGCCATGGGGGGGGTGGGGGGGTCCAGGGTCAGGATTTTAGACCCTAAAGGGCTCGTCCTTTTTGCTTAAGTCCCAAAAGACCCTCCCTGGGTTCCCCTTTCTTTCATCTGAGCTGGTTCATCAGTGAAACGTCTGGAAGAGCGAGAAAAGGTTGAGAATGTAGTTAAGGAAGAGAAGAGGAGGCGGGGTGGGGGGGGGGGGGAGACATGTCCCAGACTAGGGCAGCAGTTCTGCTCCCAGCGGGCCCAGCCCCTCCCTAGGCGGGACCTGCTAGAGCATCCTTCCGCTTCTGCGGAGGAAGCAGACAGATCAAAGCTTCCGGTTCTCCTCAGCTTCCCGCGGAGGTTGGAGCCCCACACCCCACCTGGGGTCACACAGGAATTATCTCGGGGCAGAAGAAGAAAATTATTTTTAAAATACGATGTGTGGCCTAAGAGATGACCATAGAGCCCCTTCAAGGAGCTTTTAAGACCACCAACAAGGGTGAACAGTACGAGCACACACAGCAGCATGCCGCCTGTCCCCTCTTTTCCAACCCTTGCTTGGCCCCCACGTCCCACTGGCCCGGCCTGTTGAACCTGAGCACGGCACCTTTCTCAGCTGTGGAATGTCCGTCCCTCCTATCAGCCAGGTCCTCTGCCACATCCTCCCACAGCCGCAGCCCGGCCTCCCTGCTCCTCTCACACTTGGCCCTTCTCCTCACCTGCCCCTCTGTCCCCCACCCCCACCATCCATGTGCCGATGGGATGCCACTGTGGCCAGCGGAGGCTCCTCTCCCTTCCAGAGTCCGTGTGCAGCGGCGCTCTGCGGCGGGCTGGGGAAGGGACATGAGGTCGTCATGAACCCTGGAATGCACCACCTCCCCCTGCAGACCCTCCCACACCCAGAGGGGACAAATGAAGGTCACGTTTATTTGACCCTTAATGCAAACTAGCATATTCTCCAATAACAGCCCATGTTGAGGTGTCATGTGCATTAATTTTGCTGTGGAAGTGCACCTAACTCCCCTTTCCTTCTGGTTGCTGTCTCCTGCACGGTGTGATTATGGGTGTGGGGGCCAGGGGCGCTACTGATCTTGGGTTTTAGTACAAGATAACTAGACTTTAGGCCTCCAGGCCGGCTGGCCAGCTGCTGAACGCCAGGTGAGAGGTTTAGGCACCGTCATGGGTGGATGAAATTGGTCTGAGGCCCAGGGGGCTCTCACACCATCTCCCTGGAGCTGACCACTGGCTCTGGTCCCCTGAAATTCCTGTGTCCATCTCTTCCTCTGCCCTGGAGCCTGGAATTCTAGAACCTGGGTTTCCATTCTAGTACACGATCTTAGCCTGGTTCAGCCTCCCACTCCCACCTTGTCTCCCAGAGGTCCCTAGATTCCCCTAGGGTGGCCAGAGAGGCAGGGCGCAAGACCCCAGAAGATGGGACACCCCGAGGCTGCCGGTGCTCTGGGGGTGCCTTCAGCAAAGGGAGCAGCAGTGCACAGTTCATCCCCATCTGGCCACTGCATCTTCTTCCCAAATTCCCTGCAAGCCCTTGTCACTGCACGGAAGGCCCCTCAGAGCCATGTCCCTCTGTGCCCCCCCCCTCCTTATTGCTTATCAGATGGGAACTACCTCCCTCTCCTCCAGCCACTGCTGAGGAAGATGAAAGAATAAGAGAATGGGAGGGCTGGCGGCACCTGAGCAGGCACTTCCTGCAGCCCTGCCTTCCCCAGGCTTACGGAGGAGGAAGCGGGCTGCCTGGTGCTGAGGGACCTGCCCCTGAGCACGCAGCTGTCCATGCAGCCAGAGCAGAGAGCAGGCGGTTCTTCCCATGGCTCTCAGGTCGCCTCTGCTCACCGACCCTCAGGCTGGGACAGCCCCTCTTGGGCTCCCACTGTAACTTCATGTGACCTGAGCCAATGGGAAGACGGATGGACTTGCTTCCTGCCTCCTCCCAAGGCCCTGACCGGGAGGAAGCAGGAATAGGAAAGAAATAGACAAGAGCAGGCAGGGGCCGGGTCCTGACCAGCTGCCACAGTGTGTGGTCCTGTTGCCCCCGTGCTGCCTGCTCGATGGGCCGTCCGGAGAGTCTGAGCCGTGTGCTTCCTTCCGCACCGCAGGGCGAAGATGGCTTACCAGTCCAGGGCTGCTGGAACAAGGTGAGTCTTCCCAGCGGCCCGCTGTGCCTGGGGCACAGGTGCCCTCGGGGCGCTGTGCTCCACAGTGTGATCCGCATGCACCATTTCCATCCGGGCCTTTCTGCAGATGAGGCAGTAAGGTGTGAGTAGGAAAGGGGACGATCCCAAAGGCAGGGTGCCCATTGGACATCCCACGCACTGCACACACTGGGAGAACATTTAAACATGCTTTTTAAGGCACCAGCAAGCCCAGTGTATGGAATTTCCATGCAGCCACACAGATGACATCTGTGTGCTTTGTGTGGTTAATGTATACAGTACCTTTTCTCCAAGGAGCTCTAGACCTTGTTTTAAAATTAGTCGTCATTAGCTATCCTCAGAGTGTTCATCTGAGGTCATTTAAGCCACACGATGACATTTATCCAGATGTAAGAAATCCAAGTTTCTTAAACTATAAATCCACATGGCTTCTATCCCTCCACGTAGAGCCTGGCCAGCTCACCGCTCGCCCCTTCCCTTGAATGTAAGTGTCAGAGCTTCATGCTTCCACGCGAGACCTGCGGCCCAGAATTTCTAACAAGGAGCTGTCATTTATTCACACTTGCCTTGGGTTTTGCCATCATCAAAGCCATCTGACCTCAAAGGGCTGTGCCCTGGCACACAACCGTCCCACTCAGCCGCGGCCCCCGACCCACAGAGCTCCCCAGCCAGGCCTGAGCCATCGGTATACTAATCCAGAAACCTAGCCTGGTCCCTGGCAAAGATAACACTGCCATGCTGTCCCCCCACAGCCTGCCTCCACCTTTCCCCCCATCAAAGACTTTTCCTTGTAACCCCCAGCATGGCCCAGAGTTTGTGCTTAGCTAAACCGGTCCTATTCCCATGGCAGCAGGATCATACCGACAATGAGCTAAATATGCTCCTCTATGCTGAATGCCCAAACCTCATTCGTTCATGGCATTGGGTAAAAGTGGTGAAACCAAGACCCCAGGCCCTTGGTGAAGCACCTACTTGCCCAGGTACCTAAAGCACCCTCACCAGGGAGAGGAAAGCTCAGCACCCCAGGCCGATGCCTCCCCAAGAATCTGTCCCTCCGGCTGTGCATCCTCGTCCGGCGAGTCCCCCTAGACCAGTGATGGCGAACCTTTTGAGCTCGGTGTGTCGGCATTTTGAAAAACCCTAACTTAACTCTGGTGCCATGTCACATATAGAAATTTTTTGATATTTGCAACCATAGTAAAATGAAGATTTATATTTTTGATATTTATTTTATATATTTAAATGCCATTTAACAAAGAAAAATCAACCAAAAAAATGAGTTCGCGTGTCACCTCTGACACGCATGTCATAGGTTCACCATCACTGCCCTAGACCTAGTCACAGCTCCACCGAAGCAGGTGAGAGATGTGTTGAGTGAGACCCCTTTCCCCCTAAGAGTAAGAATTTCACCTTCAAGGTTGCTGCTGATGGTTCGGGAATAGAGATGGTTGTGCTTTGCAGGCGACGAACAGCCTCTATCTAGAGCTACCGTTGTCTTGGAAGAGCAGCTAGAGAGCCTCCTGTCTGTTGATTCATATCATAACTCCAGTCTGGGATGGTCAGGAATTCAACTGCCCAGCCTCCAGAGGCAGCACAGACAGAAAGTGCCCTCTAGTGGCCAGGAAGGGGAGGGACTGGAAGGCGAAAGCGGGTTCCCACCCTCAGGGTGCAGCCGGTCAGAACCAGGGTTTTCAACCCCCATTGCCCATCCAGAACGCCCATCCCACCCAGGACAAGGTCTGCCTCCTTTCACCCACGGGAGATGAACACCCAGAGACCCACTGGCACTAACTCTACGTTGTTCTGTGTTTGTTTTTGTTTTGCAGTGATGCCTCTAACCTGGGATTGGCCTGTGTGTGTGTCTGTACATAGAATATTTATTTTTATACAGTTTTTACTTTTGGAAAGTGCCCGAAGTATGATGCATCTTACAGATTATTAAAAAAAAAAAGTAAAAACCTGCATATTTTGTACAGAAAATACCAACCTCTCCTCTTTTGTTTACAAGATGTTTTGTACAAAAGTCTATGACTCTAATACACTTTCTGTTTCTGAGACGGTCACATGTTTGCATGATATTTGTGCACCCTTATTAAGTATGGAAACTTAATAAACTACTGTGTTCTGCTGCCAAAGGGAGCCAACCAGCACGAAGGTGCTGGCTAGCCCATGTGTGAACCCACACAAACATGACGGTCCGTGGTGTCTGCCAAGCCAGGTGTGTCTAAGTGCCTTTTAAACTCTTATGGATTTTCATTATTAAAAAAAAAAGAAAAAAGAAACATAGCAGTTCATGATCCTGGTTAGTCATTAAACTAAATACCTTACTTCTTGTGAAAGCAGAAGGTCCCAGAAGCAGGGTTCCCGGAAGTGTAATATTCTGAGATGTGAAGTCCGACAGGAGGGAGGGGCCTCCATTCAGCAATGTCCACTGTAACGTGTTCCAAGCTCGGGACGGTGTCATTCGAGCACTTAGGGTTCAGTTGTGACGAATGCACCCCCCGCTCCCCCACAGCCCCCAGACTTCCTTACAAAGGGCTATTTGCTACTTTTGTTTGTTGGTAGTTTTCTGTTTGTCTTCCTTGGAGCTTGTGACTGGCATCAGCTATTGCTGTTGGTGGCTGTGAGTTGATACAGATCTGCAAGGTCCACCCACAACCAGCAGCTGAAAGGTTTGCCTCCGCTGCCATTTCACTCCAACAAAGAACAGGCAGAAAACAGTCACGAATCTGGGCCAGACTGGGTCCATCTAAAGTTGCTTTTGTTTTTTAAGAAACAGCGTTTTACTGCTGCCTCTTCATAGCACCTTGCTTAGGAGAGGTCTCAGGAAACCTATCGTAGAGACAAAAGAATCAACTGGTGCAGCACACAAGTTTATTGCCAGACACTTTACAACATAAACTGGGGCTTCTAAAGGTTTTGACAATAACAAGCGTCGGAAGTACTTGAGTAGTTTAAACACCCTCTCATTTTGCTTCCATTTTCACTTTTCTTTCTATATCCTCTCCTTGTAGAGGGTACACAGGCAAACTTAAACTCACACCTGCCACACACAGTCACGGGATTGCTACGTGGTGGGCTTCACGTCCTGAGACCCTGCCACGCTGCTGGTGAGGTCTCACTCACAAACGCTCGTGCCAAAGCTGCCCAAAGCCGGGGACTGTCCCAGCTTTCTCACTCTGAATGTCCACTCGGATGTAGACAGCTTCCTCCTCTGAGTCCTGGCTTCCTCGTTTGAGAAGTGGAGCACTTGAACGAGAGCTGACCTCCATGGCCACTGAATGGAGCTCATCTGCCCCTCCCCACGTGACAGAGCAGGAGGGAGGGACCCAGGCCCACACCACCAGCTGGCACAGGTGCTTTCCTACCGAGGGAGAGCGTCAGGGGGCAGCGCTTTCCGGGTAACACTGACCAGCTCCTATGGCCCCGTCCGGGCCAGCCTCGCCACTCGTCACAGCCAAGTACTTTCAGGGACTGAGGAAATACTTTAGTTTTCATTTCTTTTAAGAAGAAAAAATTAATATGTAATCATGAACCCAGGCAGGGTTTGATTCACCTTCCAATCAGAGCAGTCATAAAAATACAATTTCTTTTCTATTTTACGGAGGGAGCAGCCCACTGAGGCCCTGCCTCGTCCTCAGCTCCGTGAGCTGAGCTCTCTGCCTTGAAGGGCTCTCCTCACCGCTTTCTCTGCTTCCTCACCCCGTCTGAGATCCCGAGGATCTGGCTGTGCTAGACCCACTGCCTCATTCCCTTTCAGTCCTGGTCAGTCCTGGTCGGAAGCCATTGATGATCCCAGCATTCACTGGGAAGCTTCCGACGCTGGGATTCTGTTAGCTGAATCCCCTTCGGGCCAACAGAAGCCTGCTTATTACCCCCAAGCTAATAACGCGAGGGTTTGAAGTCCCTCGCAATAATCTATAATAATAAAAGCATAATATGTTAATTAGATTGGACAGCCGAATGACCTTCCGGACATCATTCCGGATGTCCTTCCAGATGAAGCCACCATGCCGGATGTCCTTCCAGATGAAGCCACCATGGCAGGGGCGAGGCAGAGGCGGTTAGGGGCAATCAGGCAGGCAGGCCAGTGGTTAGGAGCAATCAGGCAGGCAGGCAGAGGCTAGGGGTCCAGGATTGTGAGAGGGATGTCCAATCCACAGGGATTCCTGCAGGATCCGCCCTAAACCAGCAGCTGGACATCCCCTGAGGGGTCCAGGATTGCGAGAGGGCGCAGGCCGAGCTGAGGGAAACCCCCCCTCCTCCCATGCACAAATTTCGTGCACCGGGCCTCTAGTATAGTTAATAAAATATAAATGTGTGCAAAGAAAAGTTGAAAATTCAGAGTCAGGGAAAGTAAGTACAGAGGAAGTGGCAGGAAACCCTAAATAGGTGGGGGGCGGAGAGGCCCTCAGCACATTCCACTGCAGGCTGCCTGGTGCTCAGAGAAAAAAATGATTTGCTTGGTTTCAGTGCCCATGCTGCCCTCCACGGGGGGGTGGCAGTTCACAGGTTTGCCCCCCTCCCCTGCCCTCCCCCCTGTGTACGCAAGCTCCTTGTCTCCCCAAGTAGCCTGGTGCTTCCTCTGCCAAGACCTCCTCCCATCACAGGCTGCGAGCTGCACACCCCCAGCCCCACCCTCCTGACTCCAGGGACCCCTGGGCCTCTCCACTTGGACCTTAACTCCACTCTGCATCAAAAGTGGTGCGGGGAGATTAGACATAGGGAAGCAAGTGGCAGGAAGCTGGCGGAGTAATGGGGATCAAACTCACGCCAGCAGCCCAGTGGACAAGGGACAACCAGGTGCTGGGAGGACGTGCAGGTGCAGACTGGAGGGAAGGATCAGGGAAGAGCCCTCAGGGTTGCGGGGTAGAGAGGGCTCGTGGAGGTAAAGACATTCAGGCTCTTCTGGGGACCTGCAGCCCCTCCTGTTGAGACCTGCCAGCCCAGGGAGAAAGCCATGAACCCAGCCCTGTCCCAGGGGCCAAATTACCCCCCGACTGGTGACGTCTGGAAGGCCCTGGCCCTCTGTGCTGGAAGGCCCTGGCCCTGAGAGCCGCTGCCTCCTCTGGCTCCCTCCCTGGCCCGCGCTCTGTGCTCTGGCAGGGGATGTGCTGCCCAGCACTCTACCTGGAGACATGCAAACACCTGCCTTGACAAAGACTGAGCCAGTGCCCTGAGGGTGACAGTGGCTCTCACCAACTTGTGCCTCTGTAGTCATGTGAGCCAAAGGAAGCTACAGACACACACACACACACACACACACACACACACACACACACACGCCCCCAGCTCAGCCCCCTGCGTTTCCTCCCTGCCCGGCCCACGCTGGCCTCCCTTCGCGGGCTCTGCCTTCACCGGGCAGAAGGTAGTGCCATGGACACGAGGAGAGTCCAGTTAGTCCATGAAAAAGGTGGGCACTGGCCAGCGAGCGGGAGGCTCAGCTCTAGTCCTTTCTCCACTACCCGGAGCAGGCGACTTACTCCAGGTGTCAGTTGTCCTGCATGTCCAGTGAGGACGCTGTCTTGCGTGACCTCTGACTCCCTGAAACCTTCAGACTCCACTGACCACTCAGCTCCTGGTAGCATTCTGGCCCCTCCCCTACAGCTCCTGGCTGTGATGCTGTTATGCATGGAGTTGGCCTTGCAAACCTGTGTGGCATGCGTGTGCTTCCTAAGTCTAACCAGCAGCACCCCCAGGGGCCCTGGCCACACAGGAGGTGATGGGTCAGCGCCCCCAGGGCAGGCCCGTGGCAGAGGGTGCCTCTCACATTGGTGTCCAGCTGCCGAATTCATCAGAGACTGAGCTCCACTACAGGTCTAACCACCGGACTGGCAGGGGGTCCCCCACCTCCTATCAAGGTCAGGGCCACTGTGCTGCCATGGCCCGTTCACCAGCCTCCCTCATCTCAGGCTCTCTGCACCCCTCCATCGCCATCTCACACTCCACGGTTGGCCTCCCCCCTGCCCTGCACCGGGACACATTCTCAGGCACTTGAGACGTGGAGCATATGAGACTCCACAGCCTTGAAAAGGAGAGGAGGACAGGCCGCTGGTGCGTGGATCAGAAAGGAGGAGCCGCACATGGAGATGGAGAGCAGAGAAGGCAGGCAGGGGCAGGGAACCGCCGCTCATTTCTCCAAGGAGAATTCTGAAGCGTGGCGCTCCCTGGAATCAGCAGGCTCCTTGCTCGCTCGGTGGAGGGAGGCGCAAGAGGGCCAGGGAGGGGAGCTGGGCCTTCTACACTGAGCAGGCTTCTCCGCACAAAGGGACCCTCTGGCTCCCAGAAGAGCTCGGCCCCTGGAGAATAGCCCAGGTCTGTTGACATAGAAGCAGAACTGAGCTGGGGACAAGGCCACTCACCAGCCCTACCGGCCTCCTCTGCTTCCCCATCCTCCACGCCTGTGCCATGCTGGGCCTTGGCCTGGGATGCCCTTCCTTCTCGCCTGTCAAAATGCTACCCTCCTTTCAAGGCCCTGTGAGACACCACAGCTCCGGGGAGACTTTTCTGGACTCCTCGGTTGGATGAGTTCCCTCCTTGGAACAACCAGGAACTCTGTGTTCTTTGCTTCCTCCCCAGTCCCTTAGAACGGAAAAGCTGGCTTCTGTGTTAGACAGTGAGCTCGTAGAGGGAGGGACTTCCTTACTCAGGCTCCCAGTGGACCTAGCTCTGGTCTCCCCCCATCCCATGGTCCGGGCTCATAAACATCTACGACCTGCTGAATCATCGACCTACTTTACTGAGCAACTACTAGGTGCAGGCAGTGGGGAGGGGAGGATGAGGCTACTAAGGCACAGGAGCTGACTGGGATGCCCAGCAGGGTGAGGACTACGTACTAGGTGCTTCATGAGGACACTGGCAGCCAGCATGGCCGGAATGAAGAGAACACAGCACGGCCAGAGTGAAGAGCAAGCCCA